AATGTTGCGTCATGAAATTTTGTTAGCAAACCTCGGATTCGGATTCGGCACCCCAAAAAACATATAGAATAAAAGAAATCAAAACTACCCCACAACTTTCCTGGTAAAAATACAATTAAACTGGATTATATGCACATTTTACCGCTTTAAATTTTTTGCAGCGACATCTAATGCATAAATCCATAAGCGTCATATTACAGTTTTAAACGGTACATGTTTCTACTGCTCCGCAATAGAGGGCGCTTTTAAGTATACCTAAATTTGTTTCCCAAAAAATGCATAAGGTTAGCAATCTGTGTATGTGTAGATCTGTGGTAATACTAATCACGTTTGTCAAATTTGTAGAAAATAGTAGCAGTTATCAATTGCGTGCTTTTATGAATTCATAAGAGCACTAGTGCTTTTACGAAAGCCGTAATGACATCCAATTGGCCATGCCATGGTAAATCTGTCATAATGACACCGTCATAGATTAAAGAATTTTTTGTTTATTTATTTCGACCACCTGCGTGTGGGAGTAAATGTAACGGGCTTGCCCCTCTTTATTTCAGATTTTTCTTCGGCTTCGAACGTCCCGGTAATTCGCGATCGGGGGGATGGGAAACATTATTTAAGACGCGATAAACATATGAAGCAAATTCGTGATTATTATATTGAAACAATTCACCGGAATTAAGTTTTCTTTGTTATTTTATAGACTGAGATTTTTTCTTTCAATATATAATACAATCTGAATAGGGACTATAATACTATATTAATTAATGAGTAATTGAAATTATGCCATTTATAGGTAGGTAAAGTTTTCTGGTATTATTCTTCGTAGGTAAATGGGTAAAACGGAATTTTCTAATGGGTCTTTTGCACAGACGGAAATTGTGTAAACAACAAGACGGCTAATTTGAGCTTCCTTACATATTTCGGTTTCCTATATTTCTAAGAATTAATTACAATGCGTCAATGCACAATAATAACCTCTTTCGGTACCTAATTTGACAACCGCTTCTAAAGTACCTATACCGTTATTTATGGCAAAATAAAACAGAGAAATGGGGTTGGACCTTGGTTGGACAGACGTCGTAGGAAAGTGTGAATTACCGGGATAACCGATGCCGAGAAAGGAATAGTCGCCGAGATAGATCGTCGGAGGGTATAAATCGCCGGAATGACCGATGCCGGGATGTTAATGGTCGCCGGGATGGGTTGTCGCCGGGATGGGTTGTCTCCAGGAAAACGGTGCCGGGGTGTACGTCGCCGGGATGTACATCGCCGGGATGGGATGCACCGCCCTAAGCAGGGTTGCCACCCCTTCAAAAATTAAATTGAACGATGGGTCGAGTACATCCTTGAAAAGGGTTCTTAATTTCCTATACGTTTTTTTTCAGAACTATTTCCTTGCGAGTTATTCAAAGTCTGTTTCGTTTTTGTTGTGCCAATTTGGGGGAAGCTGAAGGTGGCCTGGAAGGAAGCTTAAGAGGAACTTGATCGAAATCTGAGAACATTTTGAGGGCGGGTTACAACGAATTTGATAGAAGTTTACGGGGAGTGCGAATAGTACATTGAAATACAAGTGCAGAAACGGTATTATTGAAAAACGAGTATAAATGTTATTATACGAGTTTTTCAATGACCGTTTCGACATGCGTGTTTCATACTATTTTTTCTACGAAAGTGAAAAGTTCTTCTCTAGAAATTATAAATTTAAACTAGTCAGATAACGGCAGAAAATCATGTAGTCTGATCGTAGTTGGATGTTTCAATTGTAAATGATCAAGTAATCCGGTTGCCATGACAAAACATAATTGTTTGAAAAATCGTAAATTTAAGTCAAACAATTTGTGGCGTAGTGAAGAAGTGTTAAGATGGATTTTGACGAAACTGAAGATGAAGAAGGTATGTGCACCCCGCCGGACGTTGCGGAAATAGCTAATGCGGTTTCGCATGAATTGCTACCCCAAAAGTCTAAGCAGCGTTTCGGAAAGGAGCGTTTTCATAAGAGAACAAATCGCTAAGTTTTTGAGAGAAGCGCCTGATGAAACATTTGTAATGATGAAGGTTTGTGAATTTCTTATTGTATTTTTAAATCATAAATAAGCATAATTTAATTACAGGTTGCTCTCGGAGTGGCTGGAGCTTGCCGTCGGAGCCTCGGAGCGAACGTTGTAAAATGACTGTAACGGATTTCACAGAACAAGATGCAATTTTATTGATACCTAACGATTCCTGACTCCAAGAATCATGTCCCAAGAACGTTTTCTGTAGCAGAAGGCAAAGAAAATTCTACCATTGTCTTATATAACGAAACTGTGAATAAAGCAAAACAATTACAAAGAGTTACTTCGCATATGTTTACTAGCGTGTAGAAAATGCGTGCAGAAAATATTTTTTATTTCATACTATCTAGTAATCGCCGCTTTCCCAGACTGATTTGAGTCTGGTAAATCGTATTTTACCAGACTGAAAATTTTTACCAGACTGGAAATTTTGCCTAGCAACCGCAACTGACATCCATCTAAACGTATGGATTGATATTTGTCAAACTACTGTCAGATCAAACAAATCAAGTGATCGGCTTTTGCTTTTATTTTAATGTGTACCTACAACATTCTAATCAAAATGGTATTTTAATAGAAATAGAGCAGTATGAAATAAAATGTTTTACATTATTTGTATGTCAAATCAGTTTACGTTACTCGTTTCGATTTTCCTGCCTCAGCTACGCTTCGGCCGTAAACATCTCACTCGTT